CCATTACACTTTGATTAATTATGTACATATCCTGAAATAATGTCATTTTGTATATAATCATACTGAATCCTTCCATATATTACTTTTTGTTCAATGTATTTTATAGACATATATGTTGATGTACACAGCTCTAGTTAGTTTTCACACTTATGTAATATTCCATTTGGGTGCACATGCATACCACAATTTTAAAATAAATTCTTCTGTTGGTGAACATATCAGTTACCAGTTTTTCAGTCTTTCAAAATGGTGCTACAATAAACATTTCTGTACATGTCTCCTTGTGCTCATGTGCATAAGTACTTCTAGAATATTGATCAGAGAAGATAATTTTATATATATATGTATATGTATATATATCCACAGCCCTTTTTGTTTTTTATTTTGAGACAGGGTGTCTCTAAGTTGCCCACGCTGTTCTGGGATGTGTGATCCTCCTGCCTCAGCCTCCTGAATTGCTGGGATTCCTGTGCCATCATGTCCTGCTAACTTCATGATGAACACTTGATGGGTTGGATTTTGACAGCAGGACATTTCAATAAAAGGAACAATTCTCCTAAAGGTGCCAAGATGGGAGGTGTGGGGAGTAGCTTTTGGTTCTCTTAGAAAAATCAATGGTTCTCAGTTGAGCAAATATGAATCACCTGAGGGAGTTTTTTGTGATCTGTTGTCTACTCTCTCCCTGTTCTGGGATGTCTCCCCAAGAAATTGATAAATTCCCTTCAGGGGATTGTGGAATGAATTGGCTGAGAACAGTAGACTGGGTGCCTGAGAAGGAGCCAAGGGAGAGGAGGCAAGAAAGCAAAACAGGGAGGATGAAATGCCAGGGCAGGGGGAGCATGTCAATCAGGGTGCAAAAATTCCCTGAGCAGAAGCTGAGTACCTTCCCCTCTACAGATAACCAGAGGTACCACTGGGACTTCAGCACCCACAGACTAAGAGATTTGGGTATAAAGTTTGCATGTTTGATTGCACACATTGAGCTGCAGCCTCTGGTAGCTCTTGTCTCCAGGCTCCTTCTAACCTTGGTCACTGAGAGAGTCATTTTACAATTCAACCAGCTATTATTCCCCCTGGATCTCTGGATGCACTGAAGATTTTGAAGAGTTGGCTTAGGTTGGCATTTTTATATTTTAATTGTAGTTAGCAGACTGAAAACTTGGGAAAATAAGGTGTAATACTTCCAATGCATTTATAGAGCGTGACACGTAAAGTGAGTAAAATGAAAAATTATATACATTATTTTGGTATAATGAAAGGTTTAGAAGGAGACATAAAATAATATAAAGGGTTGGTATTATAAGTAAATTTATGGCTTATTTTCCCTTAAAAGGTACAGGTACTCTCCTCTCAGCAAAATTTTACTTTATTATTCTATCTCCTGGCTTCCTGCCACACTACTCCTTGGCATTTCCAATTAGTTCAGATCACCTTTTCTGCTGGAAGAATTAGTAAATCTTGAGTCTATTTTACTATCATAAATAGTCAAAATAGTAATTTGATCATAAAAGTTGAACATAATTAACACATTTAAAAAATCTTCACAGTTAGTGATTGCTTGTTTGGGAAAGTCTGTTAGGAGATAGACAATGTTTAGATAATCATGAAAATAAAGACTTTCTAAATTATGTAACATCTCCCTTTTATGTCTCTTAGAAGCATAGAGAACCTTGTTGGTAGTATATTCTGATTAATAGGAAGTTTTAAACTACAACATATCCTATATTCACAAATTATGCTCTTATCTCAGATAGATTATGGGTATGGTGGGATGGGAGAATGGTTCAGAAAGCCTCAAAATCTGAGATAGTTGTTGGAAGAGGAGGCCTATTTTGGGGAGTGTGGCATTAGACTTTACCAGAGGGTCAGGGTAGAGTAAAGGGAGGTTTTAGGGTCTGTATATATTTTAATGCCTACTATTAACAGCAGCAGCAAAAATGTAAAAGGAAAAAAATATCACCCATAATTCCACCAGTCTAACATAACACATTAATTGCTTTCATTTTTTCTGTTCACTTTTAGCACTTGATTTTATGCCATCATTTCATGTAGCTATAAATACAGCAGAATTAAAATGCTGTATTCTTTTTTTTTCACTCAACATTATATTGCGAACACCTTTGTCTTAGGGCTATTTTGGTTGCAAGGAACATTTATTCAATCAAGTTAAATTATCTCAGAATAAAATGTGTGCGTGTGCACCCAAATCAGAAACTTGTAGAAACCAACTTGTATCAAATCTTGCAGAAACTCAAAGGCAGAACCCAAGATAAGTAAGTTCCACAGGAATGGAACTAGGACATGGAAAGCCATCAGTTAGTGAACTTGCTCTGTCCAAGGTCTTCGTGCATGGATAGGGACTCTGCTTATTTCTGCATTTCTGTCCATACTCTTATAACTTTAGTATAACATCACCAATAATGGTTACTGCTAACTATATGACCTTACAGCTACAGAACCTTCAACCATCCTTTCACAAGATCTCTTAAAGTCAAATCCCAATGTGATTGTTGCATTTTATCTTTCCCAGTCAGTTAGGCCACAAAAGTCAAAGGTTTTTGTTCAGCCTGTGGCCCTGACTGTCTCCAGCTCAGGTGAACACACCCAGTCCAACCAGGCATAGTGGTGGAATCACATGATACAGACTCTGCAGGAGCACAAGGACACCAACAGGGCTCTCCCAGTAGTGAGTGTGTGGGGGTAGACACCAACTCTCGTGTAGCTTTGTAGCCCTCACATTTTAATGAATATGTGACATGGCATCAAAGGTCTGTTCCATAATTTATGATCCCATTTTTCTGCTGTTAGTTTTAGTTTGGCTTCTTTCAGTTTGGAGGGACTGCTAGAAGTTAAACTTTGATGACCATTCTTGGTGCATACATCTTCCCTTTCATCTAAATTATGGAAGATATCTTTAAAATTACACAAAAATTACATTCTCTGAGCAACTTAAGGACATAAAACATAGCTTGCAAATTTTTAACTAAAAAAAAGTGTGCATATTTGCAAGAAATATACACTTAGGTATCTATAGGCAAGTAATAGGATGTGAAATCTGGGATTTGCTACAAAGCACTCTAGGGAAAACAATTGGTTCATGGTAGGTGGTATCTGAAGCAAGACAGGTGGCATGCTGATGACTGCTGAAGCCAATGATGGGCACAAGGGGATTTGTTATGTACTATTGTCTCTATTGTGCTATTGACTTTCCAATTCCCTTTTCTTCCTCTCTCTTCTGGATCTTTGTTATCTTTCCCCATGTTTCCTCAAGATACTTGGTACCCAACAAGCTGCCCTCTGGAATACCAGACACTTTTTTCAGGCTCAGTTATTCCTGATAACCTGCTTCTTAGGTTTCTTTTCTTTCATTATCAAAAAACTTAAGTCCGGGCTGGGATTGTGACTCAGCAGTAGAGCGCTTGCCTTGCACATGCAAGGCCCTGGGTTTGATCCTCAGCACCACATAAAAATAAATAAATAAAATATTGTGTCTAACTACAACTAAAAAATAAATATTAAAAAAAACCAAGTCCATCCATCTATCCAGGTGTTCAGTAATTCATTCACACAAAATCATTAAGCCTATGTATGGGGCAAGACCCCAAGGAAATGCAAAGTGTAGTCATTTTGTTTTGATGTGACCAGATGGCTGTTAAGAGGAATGAAATCACAACTTACTTTGTACCATAAGATAAAAGACAGATGGCAGCTTCACAGTCTGAGGATTAACTGCATTTTAGAAGTAGTGCCAAGTGCCCAAGTGAGGCAGGCAGTGTGGTAAAAAGTCCAGGGTGCAACAGCTGGCAGAGCTACCTTCTACCTCCTGCTACCTCCTCCTCGCCTTTCTGTCCAACGTTTCCAGCCTTTTGGAATTTCAAATTGAAAGCTACATTTTGAGTTCATATTTATTTAGCTAAGTGAAAATTGTATATATTAAGATCCTTGGAATTTTTGTGACCTTTAATATAAAGCACTACAGTCTCAAATGATCAAGGAAATTCATAGTTTATATTCATGTTAAAAAGAAGCAAAAATGGAATCAAATGGCTTAGTTTCTATTCATTTCCCAAAACATTAATAGATTATAAAATTTATGTCAGCCAAGTGAAACTGCAAGATGATAATTATGAGGTCTTTCTAGTTTTAAAAGTCACAAGGTAAAAGAACCCAAGTCAAGGTGGTTGTTGCCTCCCTGGTGGAACAGCCCCAGAAGGATGCATTACCTTGGTTGTCTGTGTCTTGCAGGGATAAGAACTTTCTAGAACCTTCCACAGGCCTCTACTTTTGCCCTCCTTGCCTTAGGTTATAATGGAATCTTTACTTGTCTTTCTCATTACACTATGAGCTCCTATGGGAAGAGCATAGTTCTGTATCTTTCAATAAAGCTGGGCCTCAGAAAATATCAACTGAAAAATATACAAAAGCAAATATCATTTTATTAAAAAAAAAATCTTCTCAATCACAGATTCACCTTTTTTTTTTTTTGCACAGACCCAACCAAGGATTATCATTTTTCAGCCTGCTCTGAAGACTTCCTGGTGAGAAAGTAAACGCTTCAAGAAAACTGCCTACCAAAGACTCAGAAACCCAAATCATTCCCCCAGAGGAGCATCTACTATAGAATGGGGGCACCCTGATCCAGGTCACTAGAATATGCCTTAGCCATCAATTCTCCTCTTCCAGAAGAGGATTGTTACCTTTAAACTAGGGCAGTATAGGGCTTGGTTTTTCTCAATATGACTGGTTAAAGATTTATCTCTCTCTCTCTCTCTCTCTGTGTGTGTGTGTGTGTGTGTGTGTGTGTGTGTGTGTATTCCCCACCCACCACCCTTTGTTGTGGGAGTTCTGGGGATTGAATCCAGGGCCTTGCAAATGCTAGGCAAATGCTCTATCACTGATAAATACATGTTTATAGTGAAAACACGACAATAATCAATCCAATTCAGAATCCACTGTGAGCACAGCAGGTCAGCAACAAGTTTATTATTGGGCTGGCAAGGTGACAGGGTAGGGCACGGCAGTGCTTGGACCAACTTTCCTTGAGTTTCCCTCCATTGGTTTCCGCAATCAAATGTCCCTTCTGGTATTTGCAGTAGCTCGTCATGGATGGTTGCTTTGTATTAACGAGGGGAGGGGTGGGAAGGGGAGCAGGAAAGCAAAGCAAAAGAAGTAACCTGGAATACACACAGCCTCGCTTAAAGGCCTCCTCCCAGGAACTCGGGGCAGTTCTCCTGATCTGTCTTAGTCATTTTCTCAATACTGATGTTATTAGAGGTCAGGATACTTTTTAGATAGGTCACAGTTTCTTGGGGGAGATACGGGTTTCTTCCCAAGATCCAAACATGATCCAAATGAAAAAGCCAGATGATGGTGGTACAGGAGTACACGAGGGCATAGTTCTCATAGTCGGTAGCCAGGACCCAGTATGGTGCTGATGGCATCACTGAGAACCAGAAGAAGGCACAATCAGGATGGACCAGGGTGAGAGAAACCTCCTCTCCAGAATGGGTCTCTGGGGATCCATTTCTTTAAGGCAGTGGATAGTAACTACTTTCAGTTAAGGGAATCATATGCAGGCTTTGAAAGATACTAAGCTCACTTTCCCCTGCCCTTCTCTGGATTCAGACATGCAGGTGGTCATAACTTTAAAGGCTCCCCAGTGGTTCTAATGTGCAGGCAGAATTAAGAACTATTGTTATGGCCATTCTCTCCAGTAGCAGGGGTGAACAAGGTATTTGGGTGGACCCCTTGGACCAACAGGCTGCACTTAGCACCAATATACATGGAGGTACCACTTAGCTGAGCAGAGTCAAGAATCTCAGGCCAAGAATCCCCAGGCTCTGAGTCTGTACCACCCAACTTCCTCTCAGCCTGCCTAAGGGAGGAGGTACAGGCTGACATTTTTGTTTTTTTCTTCTAGTATAAGCTTCACAAATTCTTCTATTCCTAAGAATATAGTAAGCCAATTGATAACATATTCTGAGCTTTTCCTCTCAAAATACCTATAAAGATTCATTGATCAACATCTGTAAGTGTTGGAACCTAGATGAACAGGGTCCTTAAGAGGAAAGATGGAGGATTTATCCTCTCCATCTAGATCTAGAAACTCCCTCTGTGAACTTGACCTCCACAGTCAAGGTCCAAGCCAAAAAACCCCACATAACTCAGCTTTGGAATGCAGTCAAGTGGGAGAAAGCTGTGTGCTGACCTCATAAGCATAAAAGGTTTGGACACACATGCAGTCAGGGGTGATTCACTTTCCTGAGTTCCAAGCATCCCGGCTTCTCCACTCAAAAATAATTCTTATTTGCCAGATCAAAACCAGAACTCGGCACTTGTGAATGACCTGAGAAGCTGCGGGTTGAAAGAGGTGCTGTGTAGTGGATAGAGTTTGTCCGGGTGTCAAGAACACAGCAAGTTATCAGGAAAAAAAGAGAGCTGGCCAGAGGACCAGCTTTCTGTTTATAAATTTGGCAACAGAAGGATGTTTGGAAAAAGCCTCCATGGGAGCTCGGACTGAGTGTTGTTTCTTTTTAATACTGTTGGTGCCCTGCCTGCCTGCCTGCCTCACTCACCCAGAGAGAGTTATGTTCATCTAACCTTTACCGTGAGGGTCAAGCACTCTGCACATTCCCGGCTGGACCAAGTGCGTCAGCACTGATTGATTTTGGAAAAACAGGCCACCCACCTCTTCCAGCACAGTATCCTGTCCCACCTGCACACACCCTGTCATGGACATTCTGTCTTCCTCTTACAGGGTTGAGAGCTCAAGAATAAATTTGCCCAGATCTCTCTTCTCAGCACAAGAAACTTCCACATTTCTTTCTGTTAGAGAACTCTGACACTCTCCTGTTGCTTGAGGGTGTTGCAATGCACTCAAGGGCCTCCTTAGCCCTCTCTCCCATTCCGTGTGCTCTCTCCCCCTCTAGGCTTCTGTATCCAGGCATCTCTCACACCATTCCCTTCCAACCTTTCCCATAATCTCTCATATACCCCACAAGGCCTGTGCAAACATCTAACCTCTCCAGCCAGAATCAGTCTTGTCCTTTGCATCTTCCCTGGTCCGTAGCTCCTGCCCCAGGTTTCTTCATGAGGATTGTATGCATGAGAATGAACCTTCATCCCCATCTCCCATCACTTTCCCAATCATGTCATGGGAAAAACTCTCAACTGAGAGTTGGAGACTCTACCTCTAATTAGTTCAGTGTCTGCCCACATCACTCAGCCCTCTTCCCTGCAACTTCTTCCTTTGTAAAAGTGAGGAGAGGAATGAAAATGTACACAGCCCTTGGCAGTTTCTGGAGCCTGCACAATCCGGTTTCTTTTCATGGCATTGGGCAGTCCGCAAACCCGTCCCCCCCTTTAATACATGTGAAGTTATTTGCTCCTAATTGTGTGTGGGAAGAAATGTTTTCTCCTCCCAGCATTCCTTTCTTGGTCTATAAATAAGGATTTCCTCTCTGCCCCACTCTAGGGACTTGGCTGGTATGGAGGGGAGGGTTGGCAAGGGTGGGGAGTGATAATGACTTCTTTTACAGAGAAATGGATACTTACACTGGTGACTTCGGTGTCAGTTCTATAGGTAGAAAGAAGGGCCCCCAAGTATTTTCAGCTTTGGAAAACCTTTAAGTCTGAGCTGAATTCTCCGGGGTATCCACATCAGCAACAATATTGACATCTGGCATTTGCTCTGCAGTCTGTGTCCGTTCCCCAGTTAGCTCAGAACTCAGAGGGCAGAGCCTGTGATTCAGTATCTCTGAGAGTCCCAACAATGTGACTAGAAAGGGACAGAGCCAGGACTCAAAATAGCCTTCACTCTTGCAGTCCCTTGCCTCCAGGCTTTGGGTATGCTACTTGTTCTGCTAACAACTACTAATTTGGAGACCTCAGTTTTTTTCTGAGAAACAAGACTAGATTGGGTCTCCGACTGCTCACACCCTATTATTTTTTCCATTTGCGCCTTATCTACTGGAACACTGACCATAGTTTTACAGAAATCTCCAGAATACTTGTCACTATCCACACTGGAATGTACTCTTTGTCTGCATTGCATCCCAGTGCCTACTCTCAGTGCTACTATCTACTTATAGCATATAGTAGGTGCTCAAGAAATTATTATCTATCCAATCCTTATGGATGACACTTGAATGTGACCAGAGTATTCCAACCCAGGGCTCTAGCCTTCAATTTGCATATCTCCTGTCCCTGAAACTTTCTGAGAGAAGTGGATACTTACACTGGGAAAACTTAACTCCTAGTTTTGCCGGCTCTGAGAGGTTGTACACGGTGGCTTCACCTTCAATTTGATTTACAGTTCCATCATATCTGCAATGAGTTGAAGGAAGGAAGGAAGGAAGGAAAGAAAGGAAGACAGAAAGAAAGAAAGAGAGAGAGAGAGAAGAGAAAGAAAGAAAGAAAGAAAGAACAGACAACTCATTAAAATCCAAAAATCAACAAAAGGCAAGATCTGTGCTATTACGGACCATGGTGGCCAACATGGTGCTTTCTGGTGTGAGAGGCTCTCAGAGGTGGCTAGATCCTGGCAATTTTCCTGCCCTTTCCTTTGTGACTATCTGAGACCCAGTGATGGCAGACAGTGGTAGAGTGATAAGAAGCGACAGTGGAAATGCTCTGGGACTGGATAATGTGTAAGGACCTCTCAATTCTTTTGGACTGTCTGTCATTTGCCTTTCAGGCCATTTCCTCTCCCAGGTTCCAAAGAGAACCTGAGTATAAGAGAAGGGAAACACAAATCAAGAGACCCATCATACAAAGAAGATTCACTTCTTTACAAATGAGGAACTTGATCACTGAAAATAATGCAAAAGGGGAGGGAGTCTGAGTTCCAAGAGCTTTTCTCTCCTTGGGCCTCAGTGATGTCATGTGACACTATCCCATCAGGGGGCCTGAAACCCCATCCACTTTAGCAAGTGTCGGAGTGAGTGGGACCCGATGCTAAGGGCAGTAAAGCATGTTGCCAGGAGATACTGACTCACCAGGGTGATTCTCAGGTAAGCCCAGATCTCAGAGACTCTAAATTGAAGAAATGCACATCTTACAATTGATGCCACCTGATGCTTATAATTGGCAATGTCATTTTTTTCTTATTGGTATATAAAATGGTGGCATATCTTAAAAGCGATGGCCTTAGAGTGAATGAAATAGTTTCACCCTTATGAAGGGACCTGTTCCATTTCTGGATAACTCCCAATGGCCTATGAATGAAGCTGGGGGGAGATGGGGGGGACAGAAAAGGGAAGGTGCTCAGGCATCAGGGATCTGGTAGAGCAGCTACCCCTCCAACCATCCTTGAGGAAGGCAGGCAGACTAAAAATAGAGCAGTTGTATGTGTTAAAAAACTAGTAGATTAGGGGCTGGGGTTGTGGCTCAACAGTAGAGCGCTGGCCTAGCCCCTATGAGGCACTGGGTTCGATCCTCAGCACCACATAAAAATAAATAAATAAAATAAAGGTATTGTGTCCAACTACAAGTAAAAAAATGTATATTAAAAAAAAAAAAACGCTAGTAGGTTACTGAGATGGTTAATGGGGATGGATGTCATAGAGATCAGGCAACAAGTGGCAGGCAAGGGAGGTTGGGACATGTACTCTGATATTCCTGCAGTATTGTCTGCCTGTCACCACATGGGGCCAGAGACCATACCCTGCTCTCTCACCTGGAACTCAGGTAGCTGGGGAACATGGTCTCCTTATATCTGTGGATGGTAACTTAGCAGCATACCAGGCCCTTCCCAGTCTGCTCCTGTTACCTTCATTTGTGTTTTGCTCCAGAACAGTTTCAAAAACATGGGTCTTTGATAACAAACTCACAGCTCAATCATGGGGAGATGCGTTGCTATTTTCTTAGGATGTAGCGGCAGTCTCATCATGAGACATAGTGTTTATCAAATGATTGCTACATGCCCCATACTGTTCTAAGAGCTTTATGGGTGCCACATCATTTAATGCTCAAATAGCCCCATGGAGGTAGGTGCTATTATTATTGCCTGGAGAACAACCCTAACTAATCCCAGATCACATACTAAGTGGAAGAACCAGGATTTGAAACCAGACAGCTAAATCCCGAAGCCTGAGTTCTTCATCTTCCAATGCTGTGCCAACTGTTTTGGCTTTCAGAGTCCTTGATACTGGCTGAGACCCTCTGCCATGGCTACCCACATTTTGCAGCCCTCTTAGAAGGAGAAATTGTACCAATTTCCTGAACTAAAAACTTTGCTCCATGGGTTCTGTGTCTTAAACAGGTGTAACCCTAGAGGCGAAGCAACCTAATACTCAGGATGCAGATGAAGAGGACTCCAGGCCAACTCCAGAAGAAAGGCAAGGGAAGCACATGGGTTTGGGATACATGTCATTGACTGACTCTTGGTCTTAAAATGGGCCAAAATATGTATGTATTTATTTATTTTTTAAGAGAGAATTTTCTTTTAATATTTATTTTTTAGTTCTCGGCGGACACAGCATCTTTGTTTGTATGTGGTGCTGAGGATCGAACCCTGGCGGCACGCATGCCAGGCGAGCGTGCTACCCCTTGAGCCACATCCACAGCCCGGGCCAAAATATTTGAAGTGAGGTCTTAACAACTTTGGGGCCTGGTATAGTTTGGGAAAGTGTCCCGCAAAGGTCCATGTGTTAGCCAGGCGCAGTGGCGCACACCTGAAATCCAGCAGCTCAGAGGCTGAGGCAGGAGGATCAAGAGTTCAAAGGCAGCCTCAGCAACAGCAAGATGCTAAGCAACTCAGTGAGACCCTGTCTCTAAATAAAATACAAAATAGGGCTGGGATGTGGCTCAGTGGTCGAGTGCCCCTGAGTTCAATTCCCCTACCATCAAAAAAAAAAAAAAAAAAAAAAAAGGTCCATGTGTTAGAGGCTTGGTCCTCAGGGTGGCACTATTGAGAGGTGGTGGAACCTTTAGGAGGTGGGGCCTAGTGGGAGATCCTTAGGTTATTGGACGCATGCCCTTAAAGGGGACTATGGGACCCTGGTCTCTTCCTGTTTTTCTTTTTTGCTTCCTGACTTCTGAGGTGAATAGCTCACCCTGTCACACATTCCCTCCATGATGCGTCACTCTCACCAGAGGCCCAAAGAATGGGGCCACTTAGATCTTGGACTGGAACATACAGAACCATGAGCCAAAATAATTTTTTATTTTTATAAGTCAATTTCCTTAGCAATTGCATTATGGTGAGGGACAGGTGACTTATACAGGGCCATAAAACTCCTGTGAGGTCTCTGGGCATCTGTACCCCAAGTCCCATAGGAGGGCTCTGAGATGAGATAGAGTTTTCTTTGTGGCCCTCAAGATCCCTATTTTCTTTCTCTGGTTTATGCAGGTCAGGGAGTGACAGCTGGATCATGGCTCACAGGAAGGTTAATAGAGGCTCGGATGACCACAGAAGGCCTTTGTGAGCCGGGCTGGGTTATAGTAGTTTTCTTGGAGGTGAAACATTTCTCAGATCTTCTAGAGAACAGAAGGACAGCCCTTCACTTCCAGCTCTTCTTTCATCTGTGTCTTGTGTTCTCTTCCCCATTTCATTTCTCCTGGTTCAAATCTGTTTCATCACTTATCAGCTGTGTGGCCCTTGGACAAGTTACTTTACCTCTCTGCACCTAAGTTTCCTCATTCATAAAAAAGAGGCTAATAATAGGACCTATTTCAGAGTTGTTATGGGAATCAAATATATATTCAATATATATTCATTTGCAAGCAGACATACACACATGCTGTATGTATACATGCACAGAATAGTGCCTTGCACATAAGGGAGTTTTCTAATAGGCCAAGCTGCCTAGAGATGGGATGAACTGTGACAGAAGGCAATGAGTGGGCACTTTCCAGAAGTATCTGAGCAAAGCTGGGTGCCCTGTGAGTAGCTGGTAAAGAAAAGGTTTTTCTCTTGCTTTCAAGATCAGACAGGTGGTCCCAATATCCTTTGTTATCAGAATTTCTACTTTGCTACAAGGGCAGGGATGCTGACATTTGGGTTACTCCTGAGTCCCTAGTGCCTCTTCTAATGTCTGGCACCCAACAGATGCCCAGCAAGTGGTTAAGGAAAGGAATGAGTGTATTCTAGTCCTAACTGTCCCTGTGTGGCCCCAGAGATGGTCCCTTCTCCCCACATCCAACTGCATGAGCACCGGCCACACCAGGACAGTGTCCTGGCCTGGCACCATCACTCACCTCAACTCCTGGTTTAGCACTTTGACTTTTCCGGTTTCCATTAGCGAGTAGTTGGCTTGGATGCACTTTCCCTTCTCAAAGCTCACTGGGATCTTCTCAATTTCATACCATCTTCCAAGATACTGCAGAGACAACAAGCAGAGCAAAACCCTGTGGCTCTCTGGAGACCTGCGAGCTCTTCCCCATTGTTGCCTTCAGAAGCAAAGCCCTTTCCTGGGGGAAACCAGGAAAAATAGGCTGCATTGTTCCCAGCGCCAATTGAGCAAGATATTGATTCAAATGGGAACAAGCGCATCGGATGTGTGGACTCTGGTTGAATACTGCATTCTATTCCTAAAGGGCTCTTTATTTAGATATGTTCTCAGTGTCTGTCCTATTTGGCCAAAATCTGAGTGAAATTTTAAACTCTATAAAAGGGTTTGGTCTGGATGGTGGACTCATCTTATGATTCTCCAAGGCATCTTTGAATTTTGTGCAAAGGCAGAAGTGTTGGTTGTGAAACACGAACACTCCAGAGTTGGCTCCTCTTTCCTCGCATGACCCTGAACAGGGGGTTGGTCACAAAGCCTCTGGCAATGCTCAGGATTTGTAAGACATGAATCCTCTTCAGGTACAACATGTTGACTTTAAGGAAGCCCCTGTGCCCAAGAGGGGAGGGGGGACAAGACACTCTTATGCTTTCAGGCCTATCTTGCATAGAGACTGTACTAATTTATAACCTCTGCAGAGAGCCGTTTGGCACTATCTAGCAAAACTAAAAATACACATACTCTTTGGCCCAGCAATGTCACTTCTGGGAATACATCTCCTACTATTTAAAAAAAATGATGCATGTATAAGGTTATTCATTGCAGTACCATTTGTAACAATAAAAGACAAGCACAGTCTAAGAGTATTAGTAAGGGACTGGATGAATGAGTGGTGGGGCATCTGTCCTATGGAATTTTATGATCCTCTTTTAAAAGAGTGATATGGAATGATCTCTACTCTTTTAATTTAAAAAGAACCAGGTACAAAATTATGGGCATGTTCAACTACTTTTTGTATAAAAACAAGGGAGAAAGCTTATTATGTTGGCTTTCTGTTGCTGCTATAATAAATTACAATAAGCTTCAAACACAGATTTATTATCTTATAGTTTTGTAAGCCAGAAGTCGGACCCTAGTCTCACTGGCTAAATCAAAATGTTGGCAACATTCCCCTCTGGAGGTTCCAAGAAGAAGGGGTTCCTTGTCTTTTCCAGGGTATAGAGGCTGCCTGCACTTCTTGGCTTGGAACCCCCTTCATCCATTTTCAAAGCCTGCTAAAGCAGGTCAAATCCTTCCCATGGCTTTTCTAACTCTTATTCCTTCATCAGACTTCTCTCTGACCATGGCTCAGTAAAAACAAAAACAAAAAGAAAACAAAACAACAACAAAACTGTAATAATCAAGACTAGGTGGATACTGGCATAAATACAGACATATAGATCAACAGAATAGAATTGAGAGTCCAGAAATAAAGTCTCTGCTTCTAAGGAGTTATGTGGTTAGATTGGCTCCACCTGGATATCCAGGCTAATCTGGCCATCTCAAAGTCATTATTTAGTCACATCTGCAATCCCTTTCTCCATGAAAGTAACATACACACAGGTTTCAGGGATTAGGGCACAGACATCTTTGGAAGCCATTATTCTGTCTATTATAGTTTTACATGTATTTTTTTTTTGGTTTGCATATACATTATCTGCAAAAAGATAATACACAGTTTTTACTGGTTGCTCTTGGAAAGGGAAACCAAGGCACAAAGGCAGAAGAGAAACTTTGTTGTATGCTCTTTAGGACTTTAAAAATTTTGAACCAGGTGCATATATTTACCTAGTCAAAATATTCATTGAAATTATTTTAGAAATTTAAGAATGTATTAACAAAATTAGAGAGATGCACTAACCTTCAAAAAGTCAGAACATGAAAAGAGAGCATCCTGCAAACAGGTAGCACTATTGCTTCCGTCACATGGCTCTCTGCTCAAATATATGCCCACATTTATTACCATAAATTTCCCATTCATTTATTAAACCACAACTTTCAATTAAAGTCACTGAACCTAACAATCATTTAAAGAATTAATGAATAAGGTCAACTGGTTTCCTGGGCATTCTCATTTTTTTTGTACATTTATAATAGTTGTATTATTGTTCAAGTGAATTTAGTGCTCCACAATTAAAACTAAGGAAGCATGATTCTCCAAAAAAGAAGTTCAGAGATGAGAAATTGATTTCCATGTTGGGCTTGCATAATTTCATACTATTTCTGTGAAGTCCTTTTAATCTTTTGGGAGTTTTTCTATAAATAAGGAGTTTTCAATATTTAGAAAGAATCCCCAAAAGAAAGAAAGAAGTAAAACTCTGTTTACAGTTGACATTCTTGTATAGAAAAATCCTAAGGAATCTTTAAAAAATAAACTTTTCAACTAATGAGTTCAGCAAGGTTAAAAAGATAAAAAATCAATTTATCAAAATCAGATGTATTTATATGTTTGCCATGAATAATTTTCAAATGAAATTACAAAAATTTCACTTAAAATAGCATCAAAAAATAAAATATTTAAGTACAAATTTACCCAAAGATATACAAAACATATACTCTGAAAACTATAAAATATTGTTAAATCAAAGTTTAAGTAAATGGAAATATAGTCTATGTTTATGAATCAAAATATTTAATATTGTTAAGATAGAAATACTCCTAAATTGTTCTTTAATATCTATACAATCTCTATGGCTTCTCTGCATAAATTGATAAACTAATCCTAAAATTTACATTAAAAATGCCAGGAATACAGAATAGTCCTAAAAGTAAAATTGGAGGCCTCATACATTCTGATTCTAAAACTTACTACAATGTTATAACAGCTGGGCATGATGGTGCACATCTGAAATCCCAGCAACTTTGGAAACTGAGACAGGAGGCCACAAGTTTGAGGACAGCTTTGGCAACTTAGAGACACTGTCTCAAAATAAAAATAAAAAAGGGATAGAGAGATACAGTGCTTTGGGTTAAATTTCCAGTATTAAAGAAACAAAAACAAAAACAAAACACAACAACAGCAAAACTACAGTAATCAAGACTGGGTTGTACTGGCATAAATACAGACATATAGATCAATAGAATAGAATTGTGAGTCCAGAAATAAACACTTGCATATACAGTCAAGTGTCTTTCAATAAGGATACCAGGAATAGTCAATAGGGGAAATAATAGTCTTTTCAATAAACCATGCTGGGACAACTGGAATTCTACATGCAAAAGAACGAAGTTGGACCTTACATCTCACTACATACAAAATTTAACTGAAAAAGAATCAAAGACTTAAATGTAAGATTAAACTATAAAATGCTCCAAACAAAATATCAGAGTAAATCTATATAATCTTGGGCTAGACTGTGAATTTTTAGGTATTATACCAAAACCAAAAGCAACAAAAGAAGAAAGTAGATAGATCGGCTTCATCAATACACAAACCTTTGTGTTTCAAAGGTTCAATAAAGTGAAAATTTTTCAATAAAGTGAAAAATTGCACAGAATGAGAGAAAATATTTGCAAATCATACATCTGATAATAGTAAAAAGGTAGAAAAAACTCAAAAGATGAACAGATAAATAAAACATGCTATAATCCATATACTGCATATTATTTTGCAATAAAAGAAATGGATTACTGATACATGCTAAAACATGGATGAACCTTGAAAACGTGTTAAGAAATCAGTCACAAAAGTCTATATAGTGTATGATTCCATTTATGTGCAACGTCCAGAAGAGGCAAATTCACAGAGACAGAAAGTAGATTATTTGTTGCCTGGGGCTGGAAGGGCTGGGGAGAAAGGGAACGGACCATTAATGGGTTTGGGGTGTTTGGTGGGGAATGATGAAAACATTCTAAAATTGGTTATAATGATGACTGGGCAATTGTGAATGTAATAAAAACTACTAAAGTGAAAAAATACTTTTAACAAGTGAACAATGTGTTTGAACTAATCTCAACAAAATCTTTTAACAATTCTGTTTCCGTTCTCAAAGGACTTTTGTAAATATAGATCAATTATAAATATCAGAGTGTCTCAAAATTTTTATCCCCAAATTAAAATGTAACTCAGATTTCCCGGATCTTTCTGTAAAGCTTCTTTCTAGTCTGCCAGGGTTTCATGAACAAAGAGATCAGCCCTTAAAATATTAGTGGAGCAAATCCATGCCCCCCCAACCCCCGGCCTACCTCACCTGTGGGAGCTTTGTCAGTCCTGCTGATGGTGCAGCTGCCCAAACCCCTCAGGCTTCAAGCTCTTCTCTCACCTCCACCTAACCCTCCCTCATAGGTCCCAATACACATTGACACTGAGGTGCCCATGACTGATGGTGACTTTAGCATTATTCATACTAAGTGTGTAGCTTGTAGGGGATTGTACCAGGGATTGAACCTAGGAGCCCTCAACCACTGAGCCATATCCCCAGCCCATTTTTATATTTTATTTAGACACAGGGTCTTACTAAGTTGCTTAGGGCCTCACTAAGTTGCTGAGGCTGACTTTTTGAAACTGTGATCCTCCTACGCTAGCTGCCTCTCTCTGCTGCTCTTTCTGCCCCCATCCCAGGAAGAGAGACCATTTATGGGGGAGCTGGTTATATTAATATCTTTTCAGTGCATGTAACAAGAAAGCCCCTTGGGGAGTTCTGGTCTTTCCTGGGCCCTGTTTGAGTAATGCTTGGGTTTCCTACCCTATGGGAAGTCAACTTTTGAAACCTATTTGTATTTGTCAGCTATGTTGCCTGGGAGGGAGTATCTCTGTAGAACAGGAATAACAGTACTTAGCACCATAGTCAATGCTCCACCCATATCCTCCCAGCCCCACAAGGCAGGTTCTCTTCAGCTGCGTTGGACAACTCACACACATGGCCAGCCCCCGCTTGATACCTTACGTCTCTCTATCCCAGAGGGCCTGACTAGTGCCATGGGAGCTCCTACGGCCTGCTGGCATCCATCCATGGGACAAATCAAGATGCATTCTGTTGATTTGCTCAGAGGATCGCCAGCAAAACGGAAACCCTGTTGTTCACCCTTTATTGCTTCTCTGCCATCTGAGATCACTTTCCCACATGCTCCCTTGTGATTCCTGGAATCATGGGTCAAAACTCCCTGTCCCCTGTCCTAGTTTCAAGAGTCGGCTATGGGGAAACTCAAATTAAGTTAAGTACTTGTTCCAAACCTTGCTGTGGAGATTGAAGCAGAATAATACAACTGAACCTTGTAGGATGCTTCTTATTCAAACAAGACAGAGCAGACCAAATGGGAGGTTAGCCTTTTACCACACCTTAGTCACGTCAAAGTATTCCTGCACCGGAGGAGTCGGGCATTTCCCAAGATGGAACGTTTGTCCCTTGGCCGCAGAGAAGAGACCCAGAAGTGCAGAAAGCAGCAACAGCATCTTGGCCATCTTGGGGCTGGTGGCTGCAGAGGGAGGCTGGAGTTGGGGGAAAGAGAGCAGCTGTAGCCTCCAGGGAGGTACAAGGGCAGGGGCTGGTCCCTCAGGAGGCAGCCCTCCTCCTCCTCCACCTCCTGAGCCTGCATCCTTCAGGGGCAGCCTCTCGATTGTTCACAGCTGAGACCTTCTGCCTGCGTCATGGACCTCCACATGGACCTCCACGCACACACCTCCTGCCTGTCTGAGAGTGTACTGGGATTGATTTGCACCCCACCCCCACCTCATTGTGCGTTTCCAAGGTGGGCAGAATGTCTGATTCTCTTTAGAATTATCCCTAGGACCTCAAAGTGTCAGGCTCAGTAGGTACTTGTTGAATGAAGGTCTAGGGCGGGGGGAGATAAGCAAAGGGGGAGATTGAAGCCTTTGAACCACCTGTGGAAGCAAAAACCAAAACAACATAACCATGTACAACATTAGGTGTCCTATGAGATTCATAAGGGAAATGCCACCTGATCCCCATGACCCCTGCTTTTTCAATCTTTTTTTTTTTTTGTACTGGGGATTGAATTCAGGGGCACTTAACTATTGAGCCCCATCCCCAGCTCTTTTTTGTTTTTTATTTAGAGACAGCGCTCACTGAGTTGCTTAGGCCTTGCTAATTTGCTGAGGCTGGCTTTGAATTTGCGATCCTCCTGCCTCAGCCTTGCGAGTGGCTAGGATTACAAGCATGAGCCACCGCATCCAGTTTCTGCCCCAAGCTTACTGCGCTGCTCTACCAACCCAAGAGGGGTCTGAAAATCTTAACAGGGAGCAGCTTTCAGGGACCCCAGGGCTGCTCTGACCTGGTTTAGATTCTGGCTTTGCCACCTACCAAGTATAATTGTGTCCAAATTATGCCTTAGTTTCTTTGCCTGTAAAGTAGGAATAATAATCATGCCTATCTTATAAAATTTTGTGGGAATTAAATGAGATAATATAGGGAGAGTACTCAAGACAATGTCTTATACAAAGTACATGCTCAATAAATGCTAGTTATGGAGAGTGGAAAAAGGATCCTATTACACTATAGTTTTATAAAAATATTATGTTGAGTGTTTTTCATAGTTGATGGGCATCTAACCAAAGAAGGACTGTCAGCTGATGTGAAACCGTGCACCAAGCATTTCTACCAAAGGATCTTCTTGTGGCAGAGGATGGCTTTGGAGAGCAGGAGGAGCAGTGGCTCCCTGTGTGCAAGCTCTGGGCCTCTGGGGCTCGTCCCTGCTTCCTTCACTGGCTTGCTTTGGGTCTGTTCCCTTCCATGTGACTCCTTGCCTGTAGCTGCCATGAGCTATTTCCAGCTCTCTGCCTTTCTCCCTGTGAAGACGACTGAGTCAATGTAAGCAAAATGTTCTCAGATTTGAGCATTTAAAAGGATGTGTCATACAGGAATAATTATAACCACTTTATTATGAGTCTCTAAACCTCCAAATAACTTTAATAATCAATAGCTTTTCTTCTGGAGGCTTTTTGTTGCCTGGTTTTCAAAAGAACAGTTATGTAATGAGTGAAAGCTGCCAGCTGGGGTAGGATGGGAGGGGTGGCTGCTGAGGCTCCCTGGAGCAAGCCTGCGGCAGGACCACTTCCCTTGGTCTTTGAGGCTCCATTTCCCATCAGCTCCTACTACTGTGTAAATAACACCTGTCTTCTAACCTTCTGGAAGATGGAAAGAGTGTTTGTAGAAAGCTGGCCGAAACCCACAAATATTTGCATCCATTTTCAAGAGATTCTTGGAACCTCAGGAGCTCTACCAGAAGCCCAAGCTAGGGAACTTGCCCGGAACAACATTTCTATAATATGCACTTTCTATAAGGTCCCCCAAACTGGACAGGGCCTACCCTTTCCTTGCCAGATGTACAGATGGGGAAGCTGAGGACCAGAAGGGGGCAGAACTGGGACATGGTTCCGTGTCTAACTCTCCACCTGCAGGACCTGAACCATACTCTCTCTTGCCTACCTCCTTGGGCTTGCTTGCCTCTGTGACCTGGAGAGTGTCATTTCACCATGCAACTGTGACAAAATTCAGTTTCCTGTCTTACTGTGACAAATGTCTTATTACAAAAAGTTCTCTTGTGGGCTGAAACATACTCTTGAGCTCTGTAGGAGGATTTCAGAAAGAGGATAACTCCCCTTGATCTCAAATCTCTTCCAAAGACTCCTTTTGGTTGCAGGAGCTTTGCTCCTGTGATTAAAACTTCTCGAGGGAGGAAGGGTTGATAGCATCCACCATGTTTTTCCATGTTCCTTCCATACTGATTGTCTAACACTGACCATATTGGTAACAAATATGCATGATCTTGGGTAAAACACAGATTATTTGTGACATGTTATGTTTTTGGATCTTCTTCTGATACACACAGGAAGATTATCCTAATGAGAACTTTAATTCTAAAAATATGTATAATTGGAGATGAAAACTCTGGCACTTGCCTGTAATCCAGCAATTTGGGAGGCTGAGGCAGGGGGATTATAAGTTATAGGCAATTTAGCGAGACATTATCTCAAAATAAAAAGGACTTGGGATGTAGGTCAGTAGTAAAGAGCCATGGGGTTTAATCCCCAATACCAAAACAAATAAATAAATTTAAATATTAATATAAATTAAATAATTTAAAAGTAATTCTTCTAAGGTTTCCGGGCATCCATCCTGGGTCAGGTACTGACTGTGGAAGAATTGCTGCTCCATTCACCAAACATCTTCCTGGGAAACCTGGCCTCAGTGGGTGAGCCTGTTCTGCACTGAATCTCTGTACCCTACCATCTGGAAGCAACTTGGGCTGACATTCTCCTTGTACCCCATGAGGTCAATTTGCCTGGTAAATTATAGAGCCAGAATTTAAGCTCCAGTCTCCTAAGAGCACCCAAGTGTCATTCTGGACATAGCCCTAATCTCAAGGAACTGCAGAACATTAAGGACAAGAGTTTGAGATTTCATATGATAAAATAAACTATGTTTCTGCAGGTAAATAAGTCTTTAAAACTCATTTAGCTTAGTATCCAACAAGAACTGCATCTTTTCAACAAAATATTTTTGTACCCTATTGCTAAATGCAGTTTTTCCTCAAAAATTAATTTCCATTGTCTCATTTCATAGAGGAGGGCACAGGGAAAGGGAAGACTTTGGTATATGAGTTGACCCTGAGCTTGGTCTTCTCATAGGCCAGTTGCTTAGCACATTTGAACCTTCATTTTCTCACCTGAAAAGTGGCACTAATTTTACCTACCTTGTAAGTTTGAGGAAAAATGAAATCAAGTCTGTAAAGGTACTGCACAAGATCTTGGTCAGAGTTAGTTATACTTTATAGCTGAAAAGGGGCAATGGAAAGTCAAGCCTGTTTCTATTTTAAGCATCATTTATCATAAGTGAAAATTAAAGCTATTGTACATACCTTTTTTTAAAAAAATCAAGACGAAGGCAGTTTCCACATGCAGAATCACCCAAACTGAGGTGCCTGTCTTTGTGACTGGCTTCCACCCGTTATTTTATAAGCTTCCATTGATGTTGACTCCTCATGCATGCCACACCCCCTACAGTTCAGGAAGGCTGGCCTAAAAGCTTAGCTCTGTATGAAACACAAAGATGGGACCTTGTGTTCAGCCCCTCCCCCAATTTCCTTCACAGCTGCTCCCTGAAGAAGAAACAATGAGATATTTTGTGTTTGTTTGTGTGTGTGTGTGTGTGTGTGTGCATGAGAGTATTTTCATTCAAAACATCTTTTTGGCTTTGTGGATTTTTTAATTTATTTTTTTTTTCAGTTCAGAATGCACTTTTAGCTCTGGCAAGATGAGTAGTAATATGCTTTCAAACATCTGGTATTTATTTTTCATTTTTGTGTAAATGAAAAATCAACAATCCCATTTCCTGAAATGGAGCAGGGACTCCACCCCATGTAGTCCCTGGACTGGAATGTGGCTCAGGTAACAGAGCCAGGTTATGAATCACCAAATCACCATCAACTTACTATGTGAAGCACGGCAGGTTCCTACTTGTTTGGGCCTCAGTCTCCCCAGAAATGGAAGTGTAAGGGACATACAGGTTCTGACACAAGTGGGGCTAAAGTCGAGTACAGTCAGGGTGTCCTCTCTGTGCACTGTATGACCCTTTAAGCTTTATTCTAGGCAGCCAGATATTGTCTGGGGTAGAGAGTGGGATGTGGACTTAGACCCAAGGAAACTTTCAGTTTGTGACATCTTATAGAGCACAGAAGATACCAAAGAATAGTAGATTTGGAAATTGGATGAGTGGAGGGTGTTTCACTTCTATCTTAGGGATCTTGCAGTGCAGACTGCCAAACGATGAATTCCACTGGCATAGAGAACGTTCCAGCTTGACTTATAGAGCTTAGCTGCTAACTATTCAGACTCAGATACCTGCCAGATCTTCAGCCACTCAACTGGAATCTTCCTACACAGCTGCAGTTGAAATATCAGGAAGCCGCCCCAGACCCACATCTGGGCCTAACATGCATATCTCCCATGCACCCAGGGAGGTGCGTGCTCTGTAAGGACCTCTCCTTTCCTGGGCACCTATGATTTCATAGAGATCCAGAGCCAAAGAGCATCACGGACAATTCATGCTGTGAGCGGCCCCTGGGTGGGCAGGGAGGGAGGAAGTGCTCACCAGGAAACCAGAGCCTACTCAGATCCCCTGAGACCTTGGGGACCAGGCAGTTCCTAGTCTCCTCTGCATGGTGTTTTAGCCAACGAGGATCTGTCCTACTTTGTCCTGTTTCCATTTTGGTGCCTTGACAGGTCATCATTATTTATAGCAAGGAACTGACTCTGTGAGGATCTCAATTAGAGGCCTCTTCCCTGAGAGCGATGGGAAGAGCACAGGTCTGTGGACCAGGACATGGAGGTCCTAGACCCAGCTGTGGTCTCACCTCACCATTGTAACACACTCCCCTGCCAAGATCAAAGTGGCAGCCACCTTCTTGCCACTTTACTATGCTGTGACTGGGATGTGGCAGTGGCGT